AATTCTGAATGTCTTTTTGACTTATTAGGCTTATTTATTTGGTATGTTAAGTTACTTTGAAAGCACTGTCAAACCAATAATGATAAGTCTTAGGTTGCCTTAGCTTTTTAATTTCTCTCATTAGAAAACCTGGAGTATATGCCAAGATAAAATCAGAGAGGTGTGAGGGACAGAGGAAAGATTTTAGTCAGAGAGACTAGGGTTGAACTACATTATAAAATGTTGGGAAAAAAAGGAGAGAGAGATATATACAACGAAACCTGCAAGAACTAGGGCGTAAGGGGAATTTAATGGTTTGACATTTGATAAGATTTGAAACATTGCATTGTGAATACACTGATAAATGGGGAAATGCAATTATGAAAATGGTTTCTGTGGTTTATAAATCTGATCACCTTAAGTCATCTTTGAAAGAGTCACATGAATACTGGAATTTCTCTTTAATTAATAATCATCATCTAATCTGTGTTTCTGTGCATGACACTTGATACAGAAGTGCAAGAAAATAGGTAATTAACAGCCTTCTGCATTTGTGGTGCTCAAATCTACAGACACCACTCCCAGGGTGAAAGTATTAAACAGCACTGACATGGAAATAAGAGCTACATCGTATTTTCAAATACACAGGAAGGACAAAAGGAAATTAGATTCAGAATCTGTAATAAAAAGGAAATTAGTTTTTTTATTTGTAGCCTTTCATCTGTTTTTAAAAAAAATAAGTCCATTAATATTTAACCTCCGAACCCTTCTTGCTATCTGCTAAAGAGATAAACATACATTCATATTTTCAATTGGTCTTCTTTTCTCACTGGCACTTCTAATGGTTTAGGTTGCAAATCATTAAACCCAAGTCATCCCAGCTAAATGAAATGTTTAAATGTACTTTTTGACCACCCTCTCATATTCTAATATATATACATATTTACACATATATACATATATATACATATATATACATATACATATATACATATATACATACACACACACACACACACACACACGCACACACACACACACACAAGCACATACTATGGCAATGAGTTGATTTTGATCTATTTACTTTTCTCCATTCCTGTAGCAAAGTTGGCAAAAACAAAACAAAAGAGAATTCAACTTAAACCCAATAATATTTGCTGGCTTTCTAGTAACCTTCAGTGATTTAGATTTTTTTTTTTTTCTGGGTCTTCTACAAATGTCAGTGGAATTCACAGAACTGAAAGAGAGGTAGGGGTTCTTGACAAGGTTTAGAGTCAAAATAAACTGCACAATATTTACTTAGAATCCTATAAATATGGTAAAACACAAAGAAATAGTAGCCATGAGCTCTCAGCTTATGGAATTCATGATATAGTCAGGGAAGTGAGATGGTCTGAGAAGCGCCTAACAGTGGAAGAGATGAATAATAATTTTAGTCAACAGGATGTTGTTCAAATGCAGAGTTTCAGAAATAGTTTCCATTCCAAACAAAAGATCTTCCTATCTTCTTTACCAAAAAGTCTGGGATGGCCCCTGGTAAGGAAGGAGTTAAGCAATGTGATTGTGGTCCCTATTTCATCACTAGTGAACTCAGTAACTTAAAAGAGTTGCTTAACTTCTGTGGGCCTGACTTTCATTATCTCAAGGGAAAATAGATTAAAATGAGTAATAGTTGGGGCGCCTGGGTGGCGCAGTCGGTTAAGCGTCCGACTTCAGCCAGGTCACGATCTCGCGGTCCATGAGTTCGAGCCCCGCGTCGGGCTCTGGGCTGATGGCTCGGAGCCTGGAGCCTGTTTCCGATTCTGTGTCTCCCTCTCTCTGCCCCTTCCCCGTTCATGCTCTGTCTCTCTCTGTCCCAAAAATAAATAAACGTTGAAAAATGAGTAATAGTTGAAGTATTTTTTAGACCTAAAAATCTGTAACTGTGACTTCTTTTCATGAAAAGGGCATGAGTATACCTCCAGTGGCTAATGCAAACCATAAGAAAAGTCTACATACAGCAGATGTAAGTGACAGAGTCTAGGGGATACTGTAGGGATAGATTGGGTGTCTGAGGCAGGTTCAGAAATGAGGCACTTCCATCAAATATCTAAGTATTTCCTGGAGGTGGTTCTGGAGTCATCAATATATATGTTTTCTTTTTATTTCTCCTTAACAACTGTACTTTCACAAGATTGCAGATCATGAAGTTTTACCATTTATCCATGGAATCCAGTGTAGGCACCATAATCTCATTTCAACTGGTAATGTTTCAGACCCTTACAGATGAGAAACCTTGTCACTGCAGAGCTACAATCCCCTTTCATCCAAGTGTGTTTATGCGATTTGGAATCTTGCTATCTCAGAGGCCAGATTAAGAACTTTTAGTAGTATCCTGCATTGCTGGGACTATGATATTCCTGGCATTTTTTATGAGACTGAATTAGAAATGTCATTTTCTCCAATGGATCAGAATTATTTCCCTATAGAAAGTCTAAGTTTAACATGTATATATACTTGACAGAATATGTGTCAAAATGAACCTTGGGGCTTGGATGTGAAGATGGCAAATTTCTCTTCCTTATGTCATCAATCTAGTGGACTTTGGAGTGTCTGTTGCCTCTCTAAGGGAGACTGAACAAAGTGGAATCATTTCACTCAGACCTCTAGCTTTTGGGCTTACGATGAGCTCCAGCACTGAGAGGCTGCTGTTGGATGACCCTTGTATATTGGTGACTTGGCATAAGATCACTGGCCAGTCTAGTTGAGGGAAGGCTGACTTTCCTCATCTATTTTGATACACATAGACAATGCATACATATGGAACTACAGATGTCACCAAGAGATCCAGTTCCCTCCCTTTCTATTGTTCTTCTACTCTGCCCTTCAGATTTCTTAGCATTTTTACTGCTATGGATGAATGATTTCCAATCTGTCCTTAATGTTTTCTCTTTCCCACCAATCTGCAGTCTCTCCTCTGTCTACCAGGCCTCATCACTATGAATGAAGGGACTCTGCACACAAAGGCACAGGCAATGCTCATTTCTGTAAAAGCAAGATTTGAAAGCTGGTACCAAACCTCTCCTTCAAAGCATTGACTCCTTCCTTACTACTATTGTTTCTCTTCTCCCCACAGCAACCACTCAAATTGCTTATTTCTCTCACCTTGGTGATATTTTTCAAAATCTTATATTTAGACAAAAGTAGATGTGGTTTGCCACAAGATGTCACAGTTCCATGGGAAATCCCAGGTTATATTTTCACATGGAACAAACTTTACCACATAATGAATACATCTCTGATGGTGAAACATTAAAGATCAAGTCCATGAGACAAATTTAATTCAGAGAAGTAAAGATGCTGCCTACCTCTAATAATAACGTTTTACAATAACGATAATGAAACAAAGTAATAATGGTAACTATCATTTACTGCATTCTTACAATATGGCAAAGTGATTTGTAGGTAAATCATCTCATGTATTCCCTAAAAACCTTAGGAGGTAAGGATTCCTATTTCTCACACTTTACAACAAGGGAAAACAAGTATTAGAGACGTTAATAAGCTCACCCAACACACAAATAGTAGATGGGTAAACAGGATTCAAACTTGGGCAAGATGATTCTAGAGCCTACCATCTCAACCACTACTTACTGCCTCCCAATAAGTATTATAATTAAAGAGATTGATGGCTGAGATAATTTAGACTATTTTAATCTAGATTAGTAAAATTAAATTAGGTTGGCACACAGACACTAGAGTCCCTCCCCAATTACGACAGTTAAGTTTCTGAAAATACCTCTGGTTACAGAATTTTCTACTGAGGACCTCAAGACCTTATTTTTTAAAAAATTAGATTGGAGAAATCAAAGACAATAAGGGAATAATTAAGAAAGCCTTTTTAAAGTAAGTATACCGAAAATAAATAAATAATACATACCTATAATAAATAAATAAATAAATAAATAAATAAATAAACAAACAAAATTTTGAAATTTTAAACATAAAGCATACTAATGTTCATTAAAATGGAACAATAAAACAGCCCTCCAAATTAAAACAATATTTATTCATTTTAATGTTAGGACTACTGTACTTTCAACTTTCCACTTACTAACCCTTTGTCAGCAGAAAATTTTCAGTCTCTGCTTCCCATGAAGTTTGCTTCAATCTACTTCTGATGTTCTTACAAAGAGCCATTTCATGTGCATCTGGAACGCTTTGTTCTTTTTAAAAATTTATAGTATAACACATCTATCCTGGTCAGAAAGTCTTAAAATTGCTAACGAGGTAAAAGGAAAGAACTGTATATTAGAATTTTGAGGAAGGGTGACTGATTAAATTATAGACTACTGTATGTGGATATACTTCTCAGCTATGTGATGGCAACCTACATATAATAATATATATCGCACAAGAGTGAAAGACATTACAGAATACATCATCATACACAGAAGACTCTTTTCCTTATTATCACACTGATTTCCTCTTTTACACTAATTATTTGGGAGTAGACATATCTGAACACCTATTAGCTGAGCAATATCATGGAAACATTGCTCCTTTATCAAATACAGCAAGCTAACTTGAAGCAAAGTTTGCTGCCAGAGATGGAGAGAAGGGTTGGAAGTGGGTGTAGGGTTGGGAATATGGTGAAGGTAAGACAACAAAATATTCACAGTAGAAGATCTGATGGCAGGGCTTATATACAATACATAAGTACAAAGCATTTACTGAAAAAAAAAACAGTAAATGGATTAATGGATTAATGGGTGAATGGATAAATGAATGGATGAGGTAGAAAAATATTGAATATTTCCAACTTTACAATTTTGACAAGGATTTAATCAGGTACTATATTTGATTGTTATCTTGCATTCTGTTACAATCTCTGTTGTACTTTTCCATCCACAAATGAGAAAAATAAAAACATAATGTCCTCTAATCACTATTTGTGAGAAGCTAAGGATGTATTTTTCTTTGCTTCTTTTATACTGTTTCATATTAACAAGAGGTTTTAAAACATCATGAAAAGTACCAACCTTGAAAGCTGCATTTTGTTTTTCTCATCTCACCTAAAAAAATAAAAAAGACAAGAAAAAAATAGCAAAATTTAAGTGAAAGCCAATTAAGGCAACACAGCAGTAAAAAGAGCATTTAAAAAAAAAAAAACTTTTACCCATTTTCCCTTGACAAAGGAGACACATTTAACTGTGAAGAGAGAAACACTCTGATAAAACTTTTGCTCCCTAAATAGTTTTTTAAAAATATATTTTGTGCTTTTTGTACTTTGTGATAGTTTGCTTTTTAAAATTTTGGAAGGCATAGCAATTATGAGTGACAATGAGTAAAAATACAGAGGGGATGTTTAATAGAAATGATAAAACTAAATTGCATGTAAGGAGAAAATATATAGGCAGCAATTAATCAACCCGTGGAAATTTGCCATCATGATAAGATTTGTCGATAAATTCAGACAAGAGTATCTTAAGAGGCTATTACAATTTATTCTCAGATTCTGTATTTCTATTCTTGAATGCTTATTAGAATATAGGCTTTTGCTTCTTCTCCCTCTTTGCTTCCCCAATAATCTGTTCTCCCTTATGGACCAAGTGATTATTGTGTTGTTTATAATAACTGTTCTACATTCCTTATGGAAATTGTAATTATGATGCTGAATATTCAAACTGCAAGCCACTTTTCTCAGGGAAATTGTAATTATGATAATGCAGTATTTACCCAACCAATGTTTTCTAGTCATTGTTCTCTTTGAGGAATGAGGAGGTGAGAGAAAAAGCACTGAAATAAAACATCCTGTTGGGATCTCAGATATGTATTCTGGAAAAGCATCATCATCATAACAACAACAACAACAATAGCTAATAATTGCTATATTGCAGGTGTGGCACAATCAGGTTGACACGTGTAGGAACAGGTGTGTATTTCACGCAGGTGTACGTGAATTACACGTTTCTCATTTAACCTTCACACCAAGCCACAGAGGTAAATAATATTACTATCTCAATTTTATGAGGCTCAGAAATATTGAGTAACTTACCTAATATCACACAGTAGTAAATATTAGAGTAAGGTTTAAACTCAGGTCTGTTGGACTTGAAAAATCTATTTATGAGCTCATTGTCAAAAGCCTCCCTTTCGTTCACTGGTATCAGTGCACATTGGTGAATTGATTCGCCCGCAGTCTCTCTTTTCCAAAACCAGTGTTTCTTAGTCTGTGTGTGGCATAGTCAGCTCCATGGCAGATAGACACTGGCTATAACCCTTAATCCCCAAATATCGAATTTCTTACCCTTACCCTGAGAATGGGAATAAACCTCTGTGCAGAGTGAAATTCAACGCCATCTTTTTGAAGGGCAATTTGGCATTATTCAGTAAGATTAAAATTTTTCATGCGCTCTGATCCACAGTTGCACCTCTAGAATTTATGTTAGAGGTATCTAAGTACTCATTACAACATTGTTTTAAATAGTGTAAACCTACAGAAGCAGCCTGAATGTCTCCCAAATACTTCGTGCTACAATAGAATACAATAGCATATTAAAGTTATTAAAAAGACGGGTTCATGCTATGTGTCCTGGAAAAATGCCCAGAAAACACTGTTAGGTTAAAACAGTAAGTTGTGAAAACAGTATATATAATTTGATTCTGCTTTTGTTAAAATATAGATGTTTATTTATGTATATGTACCATCTGATTTTGCATAGAAGAAAAACTAGGGGAATAGATACTGAATACTTACAGTATCTTTTAATAATAAGTTGAAAGGGGAACTTCCCCCCATGATTAATGAGTTCTCAGTGCTTTAAATGTTTATAGTGAACATGCATTTTTTTGATAAGCAGAAAAGAAATTTTTAAAAATAGAAAAATACAGAATCAAGGACATCCAAAAATAAACACAAATATTATAGTATTTCAAGAAGAAATCCAGCAAAACAAATAAAGGTAAATCCAATGTCAATCAGTGAAAATTATTAATAAATGAGCCCCTAGATAGGATGGGAACTGGGTCTCTCCTTAACTCCTCTCATCTGCTTGCCTTACCTCTACTTTGCAAGATCTATACAACCAGGGCCCCTGGAGACCCTATCCTTTACTCTCTAGGAAATCAGCAGTAATTGTTTAGGATTTTTTCAATATTAATAAACAGTGCTTGAGTACCTATCATATACAAGAACTTTACAGACGTGCTTTTAAATCCTGTAATTGCAAGACAGGTATTTTTACTTTTGGTTTAATACATGAGGAAAATTAGGATCACTGAAATAATTTATTTACCCAAAGAGTCCAAGTTATCCTTCGTTCTCTCTCTCAGATCTCTTTTTTCGTTTTTTAAAATATTTTTTTTTCAATGTTTATTTATTTTTGGGACAGAGAGAGACAGAGCATGAACGGGGGAGGGGCAGAGAGAGAGGGAGACACAGAATCGGAAACAGGCTCCAGGCTCCGAGCCATCAGCCCAGAGCCCGACGCGGGGCTCGAACTCACGAACCGCAAGATCGTGACCTGGCTGAAGTCGGACGCTTAACCGACTGCGCCACCCAGGCGCCCCTCTTTTTTCGTTTTTTAACCTAGCAAATTTACCAGGCTTGATCAAAAAAGAAACTAAGATTAAAAAGAAACTCAGAAACTAAAACAAAACAGGAAATAAGAGACAAGAACAAAAATATATAAACTAATGGTTTCTTTTTTAGCAGACTACATTCTAGCCACCTGATAACTGTCTTATGCAGCTTGAAGATTTCCAATATCTGTTCTTGGTTCTTCTCTCAGCTTTACTCTCTGATACCCTGCCCAAAGAGTTCCACTGCCCTCTCTCATTTCTTTTCTAAGTCTTAGAATAACCTCTCCCTTGTTCTTTCAGTGGAACCCATTTATTTCATATATAGGCCACACAATGAATATTTCTGTTCTCCCACACATGGAAAGGTTAATGAGCTGTCCAGCCTGGTAACAATAGGGGTCAATTTCAAGCTTCAATTTCAGCACTAGCCCTCAGGGAGACGGACCAGCCACTTGACTGAAAGCTGATTATGACCCTGGACTTCTTCCACCTAAGAAGGAGCAGTGAATCATTTTCACTTAAACTGAAGCAAATTCCAAATATGTGTTTGCTTACTTGCTTGCAGGGCTTTGTTTAGCACCATAATCTGACAACCTATAGTGTTTGATGCATCATTACATGATCCTCCATAATATCACCCAGTGGAAATACTTTCGACATCAGCAGTAGGCACATGTTCATGGCATCTACTCATCTCAACACATATGGCATGACACAGAAGCTCTGGCCTGATAGTCCCATGCAACACCCTTTTGATAGAATGGCTGAAACACCCGTGTGAAGATGGTATCTGACAATGATGGGGTGTCACCAGAAGAATACGATAAATATTCCAGATCAAGACCTTTATTTAGTACTTCATTCTCAGTAGACAGAATGTATACATGGGTCTAGGAACCAAGGAGAGGAGGTGGAATTGGTTGAACTTAGCATCACTCCCAGGGGCATAAATGGGGAATTGGTGGCTCCTGTTTCCACAAATTTAGGGTCTGGATCTAGAGATCCCAATTTTCAGAAGTAGAATGCTTCCGTGAGGGGACACAGTAGGAGTCCTATTAAACTTTAAAATGTATTTTGTATCCAATCACTTTGAGCATCCTATGTCAGCTGTCTGGCAATAAGAAGAGCCACCATATTGGCAGGATAACTAATTGATCATCGTGAGGAAGTAGAGCTGCTGTTCTATAACAAGGGAAGGGAAGAGCTTCTGGTAACCAGGTAGTTCATAGAGCATTTTCTTTAGTATTTTCCTGCCTATTTTTGATAATAAATGGACAAGTACAAGCAGCCATGACCTATGCGAATGGTGAGGAGGTTCAGACCCCTCAGTAACGGTCTGTGCCAGCCCACAAGGTAAACTACATATATCAGTAGAAGTACTAGCCGAGGAAGAAGGGATTCTAGAATGGGTAGTAGAAGAGAGAAGACAATAGGAAGACAATATGTATCAGTTGTGGCCTTGAGACTAGCTGTGCTGGCAGGGGCTGTAGTCCCCCATAATCTTCTTCTTGGAGGTTTTCTCAAGAAAGGTGACTACTAAGGAATCCTGGAGGAGCTGTTCCCAGATAGAATAAACTTATTTTATGAAGCAAAAAAAAAAAAGCCAAGTATCACAAGGAGTAAACACAGTAGATGCTGCAGGACATTGCCCACATCTGCCTTTAGGAAATGGGAGTCATTTCCCCAGTTGCCTGAAGTGTTGGCCTCCGATGGCTCACAGCTGACTCCCTCTCTGGAGATTTCCCTCCTTCTACCAAAGGGAGCTGCCTTACCCAGATTATTTACCGTCCCACAGGCAGCTCACATCTAATGACTCACCAGTATAGGAGTACAAAAGCCAAGCCCCCTTTTCTCTACTTGGGACAACTCCAATGATGTTGATCTCAAGTACACTACCTAGAAAACTTCCTGCATAAAATCTTCCATCACAGGGGTGCCTGGGTGGCTCAGGTGGTTAAACATCTGACTCTTGATTTCTGCTTAGGTCATGATCTCACAGTTTGTGGAATCGAGTCCCTCATCTGGCTCTGTGCTGACAGTGTGGAGTCTGCTTAGGATTCTCTCTCTCATTCTCTCTATGCCCTTCCCCTGCTTGTGAACACACACACTCTCTCTCTCAAAATAAATAAACTTAAAAAAAACAAAACAACACTTCCACCTCATTGTCTCTCAGGAAAACTGACCTAAAGAAAGATTACAAAACTCAGAAGACTTGATACTGAGCACTGAACATAGATATGACTGCCTCTTAAGCCCATAGCATATCCATTGTATCTTCCTGTTTCCCATAAAGAACAGTTTAATTTAATTTTAAACATATATTTGTTTAGGCAGTAAACACAGTCAATAATGATATGTTTAAGCCTATAAATCAGAAAGCATTCTTCATTGTTACACAGTATCTACAATTACGCTGCCATTGGAACATTAAACTAATGTATTTATACCTCTTGAAATCCAGACTGAGATAAATTAATAGACATCTATACAC